GTTCTGAGTTATACTAGGCTTAAACGACGAAGCAATTTCACTTTATTTTGTCATGACATTTTGTAATTATTTCCGCCAATTTTCCTATAATAAAGATTAATTTGTGTAAGAAATCATCTTTTTTTTTCTTGAATTTTTGTCACCTCAGAAATATATTTCAATCATCCTTATTTTCAATCATCCAAATAATTATACTTTTTTAAATCAGTATATAGAACTTTTTTTTTTAAGAAAATAGTTTCATCTAAAAAAACCTGAAAATATTTTTGTTAATTTTAATATGTTGTTAAGTTATGAATTTTTTTACGAAATTACATTTTTTGTTGATTTCGGCAAATTTAAATTGTTATTGCAAAAAATTGTTAATAAATGACTAAAGTAACTATTGGAACATAAAATATAATCTCTCTAGAGTATCCCAGAATTTTTTCAGATTTTTTAGATGATCGATTTTTTTCGAATTTTCGGAGAACGGATGACGTTACGAGTCTCATACTCCAAAACTATAATTATTAAGCGTAGTACAACTCAGAACAAAAAGATCTCGGTTGGAACAAGAATGATAGTGTAAGTTTACTTTTGGTCCGATAGACTGTTTGTCAAAAAACTTTTTTTTAATTTTTCGGGCTTATAATTAAACTTATTGATTTGTGCTTTTGGAACAATGTTTGGAACAACTAGAACAATCTATATCGGTATCGGAATGCTTTATTTTCAAAAAATGGGGTGCCAGGTCAAAAACATTTTTTTCATTTTTTGGACTTATAATTCAACTTACGGATTTGTCCTTTTGGAACAATGTTTGGAACAACTAGAACAATCTATTGCGGTATCAGAATGTTCGATTTTCGAAAAGTGGGGTGCCAGCTTAAAAAATCATTTTTTTTGTTTTATTCGAAAACCGTTTCGAATGAAGCAATATCACTTTGGAACAATGTGGTACAAAGTCAGAACAATCTGGAACTTTCAAAATTATAAATTTCAAAAAGTGGGGTGCCAACTTCATACACTTACTTTCGAGTAACGATTATTAATACACTGAGAAAAAATGCTTTGGTTTTTGCAATTATAATTATATAGAAAAATAATTACTACAAATTGTAGTAAAAAAATTGTTTTATTAAATTTTATTATAATATTAGTGGTAATAACCTGATATGTATATATGTTATCATTTTCGTGTTAATACAACCAATATAGATATGGTCGGAGTCAAAAACAACTATAACTGTAGTTAGACCAACCACTTTTTTGTCTCAGTGCACAGATTCTTGTAACTTATAAAATATGGTATCAAGATGATTATTACACTGATTATCATAAAGCCTGGTTGTCGTCGAAAACGTCGAAGACCCTCGACGCGTCTATCCGTCTACACGAAAACCTCGGTACATGGAAGCAGAAGGAGGAGAGAGGA